TCAGACAATCCAGAAAAGAAACATTCGTATAAATGTCCGATTAGATGTTTTGGAAAAACCGTGTATTATTCCCGTTCATTGGAACACAATTGATTGTTTACGTAGATAAAAAAAAAATAAACATTTAGAAATAAAGAAAATCTGACATTGCAGATTTTACTAGAACGGAAGGCGCTGGCTTTAGAAATATTTCTGGCCGGGAAGAAAAGTCCTCAGAAGTGCTCGTTATCAGGTGCGCTCGGCCATGGTTGTGATTAGAAAGGTGTGGCAAGTTAAAGTAAACAAGTGACGAATTTCCTTTTCTTGCCGTTGTCCGACGAAGGAGATAGTTACAAGAGGTAGCAGAGTAGAAAATTGTCCCCACTATCAAGTGAAACTTCTTTTCTCACACGCCAACATCGTATTATTGCCCTCAATCCCGCACCTCTAGTACTCTTAGCTACTATCGTCCAGGCATGCTCCCTGGAAGGGGCACGCCAGTCTCACCATCAAAGGACTGAATTTTGACCAAAGAAAGTGCTACCTTTATCTCGCGAGGTAAATGGATGCCTACTAGTACTCTTAGCATGTAACATTTAACCAGTTTCGGATCAATTTCTTTCCGTTTTTTTTTTTTTTTTAAGATTTGAAACGTGGCTTCTGAAACAGCTTATATCATCAATCTTTCTTTTTCTTTTAGCACATAATACATACATCAGGATCTTAACCTGCGTCTCCCTTGGCAGTAAAAACCGTTGTTAGATCCGACGTGCTTTAGATTGTCTCGGCTACAAAGAGCGTCGAAAATCAAGTAAAGTTAAATAGTGCCCTATGAACGCAAAACTTTCTCAGACTCTCAAAACATTCATATCTGCTCAGTTTCGTATCTTAACGTAAACAAAGCAATTTCTAAAGAAGTGATGGATTTTTATTCATTAATTTTTAGTGGATGCCCATATTTGAGTGGACGCTCCGTTTATTTATCAAACCTTATATTTATTTATTTTCGTCTACTGGCTAGAATATTTGAGGGATCTTATAAAAGAAAAAATATGCGCTCTCCGGCAGGATACGAACCTGCCTACCCCTTGGCAGGTGAACCAGTCGTTAGGTCCGATGTGTTTTAGATCATCTTGCTGCAATTCTGGATACAAAAAGAAAATAAGAGTTACCTACTCTGAGCCATGAAACAACGATAATGGCTAGTATAATATATTAATATATATATTTTAACCTCGCATAGTCTGGCAACCCTGAATCTGAGCTCAACGAAAATCGTTCCTTGTGCCTAATTTTTCTTGGGCTTTTGAATGAGCTATGAACCAGTGAAATCGGACCAGTGGGAGAGGAGGATTTGCTAGGACACACACACGTACAAACACACACACATACACTGTACTTTATATATAAGATGAAGAGAGAAAATTTTATAAAAAAGACAAGAAAATCAAAAAATAAACAAACTTTATCTTGTGAGTTAAACTGAGTGGATTTGAAATCTTGCTGTTTCAAATAATTTTTTAAGTTAAAATTTTCTGAAAACCTTTACTTGGATATAATACGACTCGCACCTTTTAGCCTTTAATTTTCGTTTACAATTTCTCGTAATATACACAAGGAAATACGGTATACTTGCAGTGGGAAACATGACTATTAATCCCATCTACCACAGAAAAACCTTTATAAAGTGGAGCAAATACTGTATAATGCATTTAGAACGAAAAATAACGCCAAGTAATCAATAAGCTTCTCCTTATGCCGTGTCTCCTCAGGGCGTTGCGATCATGGCTCTCCACAATTTCCTATACTTTTTAGCTCTTAGCAATATTTGTTTTTTTACTACTCTTCTCACACCCTGTCATGTCATTCATTTAAATAAGCTCTTTAGATCGGGTACTTCCTATTTCCCTCTGACACTTCAATATGTCCTGTGAGGATCAAACTCTCCAAGCTCTCTTTTCTTATTATGTGTCGTAGAAATCTCAACTGTCCTTTTCTGATTTTAAGTATAAGTGCATTTTTTGTTTCCATTTTCCTTAAGACTTCCTCGTTGATAACATGCTCCGTCCATGGTATTATCAGCATCCTTCTGTAGAACCCCATCTCTGTTGCCTCAAGTCTCCTTTACATCTGCGAGAAATTTTTTCAGCATTCACTGCCATATAGAATTGATTGATTGATTTTTCTATTTGACGACATATAAACCCCCTTATGGGTCATTTAATGCCGAAATGTAATTTTCTTAGGATCTTCGAAGTAATAAAAATATGATATGTTGTACAGCTTTCACAATTGAATACATGGTAGATAATTCTTAGCTTTTCTACATACACATGTTTGCGTGAACATATTTACTAGAGGCGGTGATATGTGTGTTTTATGTTGTAGTTATAATTTTGAAAAACAGTTTGAATTCTTTAAGAAATTATAGGATACTAGCAGTAGAGCCCGGCGTTGCCCAGGTATGTAACAGTAAGAGATAGATCAAGTATCGACCATCATAAAGACTGAAAAATAAAATACACAAAGATTATTGTTTAAGGTTGACGGACACCCATGTCTTAATTAGTTTTATTTTTAATTTTTCATTTTTTTACGAATTGGTCAAACCCAAACTCAAACAAAAACATTTTTTTCAATCGTTATGAGTCTACCGATTGAATAGAATTTTATTATAAACAATTGTCTTGTAAATGGAATTTTTAAAGTGTGCAAGACAATAAGAAACACTACCTGCCCCCAAAAAGTGAAGTTTTGCTGAAATCGGTTGAAAAATGTAGGAAATCCGACCCCATATATAAACACACACACACACACACACACACACACACACACACACACACACACACACACACACACACACACAAACAACCAACCTGGGTTTTATAATAAGTATAACTCGACAACTCGATATTAATAAGTATAACTCGATATGAGTTGACCACCTTTCATTAAAGCCTCTTAATCGTGTTTTCAAATTTATTTCGTGCAAAAACAATTGTGTTTTTCCCATTTTTGGCGCTGTCAGAACTACCGCAAGGTAATTTTACGTAGTCCTGTGAAGTTTTGTTGAAATTGGTTGAAAAATGTAGGAAGTCCGATCCAATATATAAACGTACACACACACACACACACACACAATCTGCGTTTTATAATAAGTAAGATTATATGGATTAAGGTCATGAAAGAGTTCTTTCATGTTGGTTGTTTGGTAGTATTTTAAATGGTTTTGGGTGAAGACGATACAATTTCTTAGTATGTGCATATTTTTGGTAATTTTACTATAAATATTGTTGGTAAGTTTGCTTATATAAAAATGAATTGCTAGTATTTTTACTATAAAAATGTAATTTTATACTTTCATAGTGTTTTGTTTTTTGTTTATGGGTTCACTATTTGCCTATAGCCGAGACCCTAACAGGTGCTACCGCCCCGGGTTAGGGTAGACCTAGGAACAACAACAATTAAGAGGTGGTTCCACGCTCCTCAAAACCTTCAATCTTCTGATCAGAGGCCTTGCTGCCGAATGTGGTTTATCGTCATACCCATCGAATTTTTATTTTTACATTAGTGTTCAGTACTCTTTTCGTTGTTTCTAATGAAATTTTCATTATTTCTTAATACTTCGCTTAGCTTTAGGAAGGCATATTTCGCTATACTGTTAAAACATTTCCCAGATAGTTAAATTTCTGTAGTTGCCTGATTTTGACGACACCAATTCGAAGCTTGCATCATACGCTGCCTAGTCACCACTTTCCAGCCTCGATAGAATTCAAAAGCGTCTCCTCGTCGTTGTGGGTGACGAATTATTTTCCACTCAACAATCCCTTTCCCCGCAGACGAAACGTCGCAAGCCACCGCCGCTCTATCGCTATTTCCATAGAAATTGTTCAGACGAATTACATTCCTTAGATCCATCTGTTCTAACTTTCACGTCTAAGACCCGCCATGCCATGCACATTGTTTGGCGAACCACCTTCATTCCCTTCGTATTCCATTGATGAGATGTTATTTCCACTCGAGCAGCTTCTCACGAAACACTGCTTTGTGTAATCGTCTCTCAAGAGAATGTTTCCCTGATCACTATAATCCTGTTCAGTTGTAGGGATGACCGTTATCTTGTCACCATAAACTGTACCTCTTACTCTGTAACCCTCTACTTGAGTGGCTCTTGAGCCTTGTACACAGTGAACACAAATGTAAAAAAGTCATTTTTTTTTTTTGCTGACAACCATACATACTGTCTACTTACAATTTATGGTTAATATCTTCCCACTAGCTTGTCTATGAGTTTCTTCCATTTTATTTCCGTGTCTGTCATCAGCATGTCGTCATGGCGTCATCTGCGGATCTTAGGTTGTTAAGAGTGCGCTCACAAGTAATAAATCCTGTTCGGACTTTTAGTTCTCTTCGGAGTTTCTCGTTGTATAAGCTTGACGCGTAAAATTATCGCCCAAAACGCATTAAAAAACAACGAATAATGAACACTGTATCTGTTTGAATTATGACTGCTTATTTCTTCCATGGTTCAGTCAGACATCTTCCATGTCGGATGGGCACACACACACGGTGAGCGATTTGATTGGTAGATAATATTTCGCGCACGTGCGGAATCGGAACACGGGACCTCTCTCAGCCGAATCACGGGACTTTTCTCATGAGAATCATTCCCCTAGATTAACGAGCCAAAAGTGAGTGAGTGAGTGAGTGTTAAAACATGTCTAATTTATTTGTTTAACCAAAGTAGTTTGATTGATTCGTTTTCCACGCCTTATCAGCCTATTGCAGGTTATTTAAAACCATAAAATATTTTAGATTGTAAGGATTTTTGGGAGATAATAATGGTTTAGTGATACAATCATTACTAATTAACCCATTGCTAGGGAGAGACGAGCTGGATTCGTACCTTTCCCAAGGGTATTTGTGCGTAAGTGACTATAACGAACTGGAGTTGAATTAGAACTCGGTTCTCCGATTATCAATTCCTAGCCACTATTCCTTACACCTCCCGCACATCCAAGTTTACAGCACCTGGTATTCCCAAACAGTCGACCATCTTGGCACTGACCAGACTCGTCGTTGCTTAACTTCGCCGATCGTACGGGAACCGGAGAGTTCCAACGTAACGTGGCCATAAGCTCCAAAGTGGTGACGCAAAAAAAAAAAAAAGCTTCTACATCTATTGTTAGTTATGACAAATGGAAACTAGGGAATTCGACTGAGTAGTTCTCGTACCGATTACAAACCTGTATTCAACCAAGCAACCTAAGTGTAAGTGTTAATTTTCAACACTGACCAATGGTTTTATTAAAAATCAAAAGGTATTCTGTTTCATATCAAGCGTAAAATGTTTTGTATGGCCAAGTGTAACTCATACTTAGTACCAATCATTATATTCTATTACAGATTTTAAAACACTGCTTTTCGCTTGATTACAAACTTTAACCTACAATAGCCTGCACTTATAATTTAATTCTTCCGCAATCAGATGACTGGAATACAGATCTAATGTCGAAATTATCACTGATAGACTTTATTGGATAAATACATTAAAACTTGCTTTCACTGAGTACATCATGACACTGGAAATATCAAGAGCCTCGATCGAAATGATTTGTAAATGATTTTGCTATAAAAAGCATTATAAATTATTTATCCTATGAAAATGAATTTCTCATGATTTTACAATAAGAAATTGCACGTGATTTTACGATACAAAAGTATTGAGAATCATTTTTTCCTATAAATAATGCATTGCAAATAGTTTTACTATAAAAATGTATTCCGAATCATTTTTCATTTAAAAAATGCATTGCAAATAATTTTACTATAAAAACATATTGAGAATCATTTTTCCTATAAAAATGCATTGAAACTGATTTCATTGAAAAATTTATTGAAGATGATTTTTCCTATAAAAATGCATTGCAAATGATTTTACTATAAAAAGCATTGGAAATCATTTTCGATAAAAATGCATTGTAAGTGATTTTGCTATAAAATGCATTGGATATTTGTCATGGCTCCTTACCTATAACTACTGACACTATGTATACTACGCCTCTCAAGAGAGAGGGACGAATCGAGTCGAGCCGATAATAGTTCACTCCAAACCAGACTGACAGTCATACTAACACCTTCCACATCCTGTATTATTATTTCGTGTAATATACCTTCGTTATTTCTACTCTTGTGTTCGTGTTGTTCTTCCTTGGTCCTAACCTGGACCATAATATTATTTTTCATATAAAAAACGTTACTAGTGCTTTTGTTGTAAAATATATTGTAAGTTAATTTGTTATGAAAATGTATTGCAAATTATTTTACAATTACAATTCATTGTAAGTGATTTTACTATAAAAATCTTTTTGCAGATTGTTACGGGATTTATTAAATATAGAATTTCCATTCTTTCTAATGATTATATATATATATATATATATATATATATATATATATATATATATATATATATAGCGATACAGCAAATGACACCATAATTTACAGAAGCACCTCCCAAAATCAAGAGCCTTGCAGCCGATCTCTCCACTGATCTTGCTCTAACAGCTCAATGGTGGAAACCTGTTTTGTAACTTCTAATGCATCAAAAACCAAGCTAGCATCATTTCATGACCACGGATCGGACCTAGAATTTTCTTCAGTTACGGTGAATGGTTTTGTAGTCACAATGTGGATCCTTGCTTAGAACGTCTGTTAGGACTCAAGTTCATTCCAAACATGAAAACTCAAGACTCATATACGATTCGATACTTGTTAACGATTCTAGATAAATGGTCGACTCCAGAAAGTACTAGGCTCCCTCTGTCTCACTGTTTACAGGAATTCACATGATTGTCACCATTTAATACTATTGTTCATTATATTCAGCAGGTCAAAGGGATAACAGTTTATGTCATCACAAATTTGTTTGATATAATTTTTGGCTGCCGTCCTCTGCTAGCTCTTTTTTGTGTAGGCTCCCACAGAAGAACTTCACTAACAATTTCGTGTTTAGCTCTCTAGCAATGCCCTACAAATCCTACTCTACGGTTTTTGATGATTTCTAATATTGGAAGAATGTTCCCATACCATCATCTATTGGTCAGATGATATCGCTTAAAATCGTTTACGCGATCTTTTGGTGGAGTGAGTGACTCATATTCATTTGACCAGATCATTCCAATAACCTCAAATTTATTATCTTCTAGTCTCACTATTTACACGGATTCACATAACTGTCACCATCTAATACTATTGTTCATTATATTCAGCAGGTCAGAAGGATTACAGTTTATACCGTCACCGATTTGCTTGATATAAAATTTGGCTTGTTGTCTTCTGCTAGCTCTTTGTGTAGGCTCTCGCAGAAGAACTTCACTAACAATTTCATGTTTAGATCTCCAGCAATGGCTCTACGCAGTTTGATACTGGACAAAGGTTCCTATACAATCGCTCATTGGTCAGACGATCTCTTCCAAGTGACATTCAAAACTAAACTTAGCATGTCAGTATAGGTTACATCCAACTTTTAATGAGTTTAAAATCATTTACGCGATCTTTTGGTGGAGTGGGTGACTTACTTTCCACCCAATCGTCCATTTCCCACAGACGCAACATCACGTGTCCAATCGCTATTTCCATGTCAAATGTTCATTCTTTTATTCCATGTCAAATGTACAATCTTTACTTTCTTGTCAAATGTTCATTCTTTAGGTCTATGTCAAATCTGCATTATTTCATTCCATGTCAAGTCTACATTCTTTCATTTCATAGCAAATGTTCATTCATTCATTCCATGTCAAATGTGCACTCTTTCATTCCATGTCAGATCTGCATTCTTTCATTCCATGTCAAATGTGCATTCTTTTATTCTATGTCAAATGTGCATTCTTTCATTCCATGTCAAGTCTGCATTCTTTCATTTCATGTCAAATGCGCATTCTTTCATACTATGTCAAATGTTCATTATTTCATTCCATGTCAAAAGCACATTCTGTCATTCCATGCCACATGTTTATTCTTTCATTCCATGTCAAATGTTCATTTATTCATTTCATGTCAAATCGGCATTCTTTCATTCTATGTCAAATGTTCATTCCATGTCAAATGTGCATTTTTGATTCCATGTCATGTTCATTCTTTCATTCCATGTCAAATGTGCATTCTTTCATTCCATTAGCCCAGATATCTGCAGTTAAGTCTCACCATGCTATGTCTATAGAGCTGAATCACTCTAATTGTACCCATATTTCAATAGTAAAGACTAAGTTCCACTCAGCTTTTATCTATGTATTGGGACTTTGTGGAACGGACTCCAATCTTACGTCTTCGAGTCAAGGGTCAATCGTTATCTATCCCCCTTATACTCATCCGCTTTTTATAACCATAACATACACTTTATTCAATAATTATCTTGGGTGTCTCTTAGACATTGTATTTGTTAAACTTTAATAAAAAAAACAAAAAAAACACACACAACAAAAAAAAAAAAACAGCAACGAGCAGACAAGGCCAGATTTAGAACACCGTTCGTCGATTTCATTTTCAACGTTCATAATCATTACACCAGAGAAATATACTTTTCTGTCACCAGTTGATTTTAAACGGGTGGCCGACATTTCTAAGAGGTCTTCTTGACAGATATGGGTAACCATTTCACTCTACAGACATTTGTTGAATGTCGTTTGTTGGCGTTTCATAGCCTTAAAAGTGTTTACTTGAAGGCGGGAACATAGTTTTTTTTTAGTTTTTTACTATTTAGCGTAGACTTAGATAATAGCTTGATAGATCTTTTTTGATGGTAAGTGTCGGCCAGGTGCAACAAGTCGCGTGTCCACTGTCAGACGAAGGGTGTCATTTACATAGCGACCGTTTCATCTAATCCACGTTAACATTCTCCCGAGCCTTCATAACAGCAACAGTAACTGTAGGGTGAGCGGTTGATCGATGCAAGAATGATATAATAGTTGTGCTTGCACCTCCCTTCGCACGCCGTTATGTCCTGACAATACCTAATAAATAATAGACTATTCCGCGTTTTGATCGCTTGGAAAGAGGGGGAAAGACATTACTTGGTTTCGGTGAGAAAATGAAAGAAAGAAGGGAAGATAGAAATGGAGAAAGAGAATCAGATTAACAGTATTTACATTAGTCGGACTAATAACTGATAACTGACATCCATCAAACATGGCACTGACATCCATCAAACATGGCACGTGGAACTAGAACAGTCTACTCCAGTGAGCGAAATAAAGGGTTCATTTCGAAATTCCAACCACCTGAAGAAGGCCGGAGCGTACAACGGCCGAAATGTTGTGACAAATATGGCGACAAAGATGAGGACAATAGTCCGACTAATGTAAATACTGTACATAATACCTCATCTCAGAAATATAGACAGACTCTGGAGAATCAGATTAAGCTGATAAAAAAAATACCATACTTTGATCTCAGCAAAAAATACCGACAATCGTGGGGACCGTGATAAAAACATTATTTTTTAGACGTACAGTATCGAAACTTATCCAGAACATTCACCGTAAACATTATTGCTGGGCTAAAAATCGCCTCAGGAATTATCGCCGTATAGGATTTTTGCCGTAAGATAATTTCGCCGCATCTTTTTTTCGATACCCTTACCTTGAACGTCCCTTTTGGAGTAATGTTCCATTTAATATGCAAAGTATCAAGGATATATGGATATCTTTTTTACAGGGTCAAAAATCAGAAAAGAAATTAAAAAGTAAACATTTATTTAAAAAAAATAAAAGACTAAAAATATATCAAATTAGCAAATAAATAATTTAAAATTATTCCAAGCAATGCTTCGTATATAATGTTTTTGTTTTTTTGGGGTTTTTTTTTGCGTTGGGCTGTAATGAAGCATTTTCCGTTGAAGTCTTGCCTTGATATCAATATATATTTTCTTCATTTCTACTGTATCTCCTCAATCTAAATCGCGCTTTTTCTTTTTTGCTAATGCCTCTTCCTTTTCAAATACGCAATTAGTTTCCACAAAGTTGGGTGCATGTTAGGACAACTTTGCTTATTAAAATGTTTAAATCGAAGTAACAATAGTGTGAGCCAGATATACTTCATAACAACGAACTTCGCATATTAA